GGCCTCGGCGGGGGAGGGCGCGCCGCCCGCCGGCTGCAGAGCGCGGGGAGCCTTTGCGTTCGGCGCGGTCATGCCGACCTGAACCCGCGTTTTCTCCTCCCCGTCTGGAGGGAGGAGGGCAGGAGGGCGGAGGGGGTGTCGGTAATATAGGGGCAGAGGGCGGAGAGACCCGCGCTGGATTTGGCGTGCGGCGATCTCCACCTCCGGCGGGGCGGTGCCGGGCGGCGCCCGCCTGTGCGCTCCGCCGCGGCCGGTCGGGCCAGGGGCGGCGGAGGGCCGGGAGAGGTGTTCGCGGGACTCGTCCTGTCGGAGTTCTCGGCTTCCGTCCGTGGGCGGGAAACGCAGGGTACTCACAGGTCCGGCCCTGGCGTAGCTGCTGCTGCGGCTGCTGAAGCAGGTGGCTCGCGGCTCGGCCCCCCACTGAACCCGGGGCTGCAGACCCGGGCGTGCGGGGCGGGTCCGGCCCCTGAGCTCGTCCGGGGGTTCGCTCTGCTTTGCTCACGAAACCCAGGGACGAGAGTGACCTCGCAGGGCAGTCCGTTCTCGGGCGCACCTCTGCCGGCTCCGCGCAGCGCTCCGAGCTCCCTGCAGCTCGCAGTTGGGTGGCGGAGGACGAGCCGCCTCTGGCCGCACAGCCCGTTCAGATGCCACGGGAAGCTGGTTTTCGCTGAGAATGCCATCCGCGCAGCCGCATCCTCGCTCGGTACTACGAGGCTAAACCTGAGTAGTAACAGCGCTAGTCGGGCTCCTCCGCTTTCTAGCAACGCGTCCTCCCGCGAGGGAGGCGCCCGAAGCCCCTCCCACCCACTTACGACCAGAGCCGAAGCTGGGGAGTGGGTATTCCAGTCCGCTAGTTTGAATTCCACTGTGAACAGAGCAGGTGCGTCCTTAGATGGAAGCTCATAAGCATGTCACATTTTGTACCATCAACTGAGAAGCCAATCAAAGGGGGAAATGAATAGATTACATGGAAAACGATTTTTGTGGCTATTTCAGGACTCCAGTTTTATAAAGATTTAATATAAAAGATTTAGCTACATTATGTTTTACTTTATTTTTATTTATTTTGGGTACCGGAAATCGCACTCAGGACCTTGTGCTTGCCGGGCAGGCGCTGTGTCACTGAGTTATATTCCCGGTCCCACATTCTATTTTACAATATATGTATCAAGAGTGATCGTAAATATTTTAAGAAAAAGTTTCCCTACGAATTCCATAACAGTGAATGCTGCGCTTGGACTTGGGGTCACCTTGCTTCAGCCTCCCGTAGTGCTTTGATTGCAGGCGTGCGCCGCCACTGTGGCACTCCTCCTGAACAGTGCCCACCGTGACTTGGCAGTTTGGGAGTAGCAGATAATTGGTAACACTTCTCTACCTGTGTGGGGACTTTCGCTGTTATATGGCACACTTTGATTAGTTCTCACAAGTACACTCTAATTCCTAGTAAATACCCATTTAAGGCAAGTTTCCTTTAGCTCTCGTGTAGTTCGTGTCCTATACTATGGTGATAAGATCTGCAGTAGAGAGAATGGACGGTATTCTCTCCTCCCTATAGTCTTATTACAAAAGTAATTATCTTATCTCTAAATTCACGCACACTGGAGAGAGGGAGAATATGATACATAGTTCAGATACAGAGTCATAAACCAAAATGTCTGGAATAAACCCACCGTCTCTGGTATCCTGACATCGTCTTAAGTATGCTCAAAATCGTGAATTAATCCTTTACTCATTAGTGATGTCGTCCATTGGAAAGCTCCTTTTAGGGGGTCAAATGTGCGCTAATGCCTCACAGGTCCTCTCACCCAGATGTGGAGGATGCAAAGGAAGACGCCAAGGTTTCATCCTGCGCGGAGCCCCTAGAGCCAAGGAACCCGGCTCCCTGAATCGCCTCGGGAGGGCCCATATGAGTGAGAAGGAAGCATGGTAGACCACCGGGTTCTGGAGTAGGTTGTCCCAGCAATTAATTAATTGAGTAGTTTTAGATATGTAAGAATTAGGTAGCTACGAAAGGGTTGAAGAGCCTTCCAGAAAACAGGCATAGTACGTTAACAAGGCGTCTGATAAGAAACCAGCACGGGAACTAGGAGACGCACATCAGGGATGGAGCATGGAGCTAGTGTGGGAAGAAAGTAGAAAAGGTTAGAAAGGCGAACCGATTTGTGATTATCGTTATCATTATTATTATTTCAGACTTTCCTCTTTGCAGTCCATCTTAAAAACACTTGACATGCCTCACTGAGTGATAATTCTGGTATTGTTCAGTTCTCTCCCGTAGAGCATGCAGTTCAGTGGGTTTTTGTTTGTTTGTTTTTAGCATATTTACAGTTGGGTGAACATCGCTATTACCAATTGTAGAACATTTACAGAACTCTAAAAAGATCATACCCCATTATCAATAATTCCCCATTTCCCCACATTTCCCCCAACAGCCATGAATCTACTTTTCGTCTCTGTGGATTGGGGTATATTGCACATTAATATCAACGGGATCATACCATCTGTGGTCTTTTTGACTGACTTCTCTCACTTAGCATATTTTCAAGATTCATCCATGTTGTACATGTACAATTATTTCGCTGCTTTTATTGCCAGTGTTTCACTGTGTACATGTGCCGCATTTATTTGTGTACGAGTTGTTGAACTTTTTATTTTTCCTACTCTGTGGCTACTATGAAAAGTGCTGTCATGAATATTCACGTACAAGCTTTTGGGCAAACGTGTGTACTCATTTCTTCTCGGTAAATACCCGGGACTGCAGTTACTGGGTCGTGTGGTAATTCGAGGCTCTTAACTGTTGGAGGAATTGGCAGACTCTTTTCAAAGTAGCAGTACATTTTATATTCTCATCGATAGTGCATAAATGTTAGAGTTTCTCCATGTGTTTGGCATTTGTCCTTTTTATATACCTCCCAGTGAAGTGCTACTTCTCTGTGATTTTTGTTTTTATTTCCCTGATGGCTACTGCCATAGAATCTGTGGAATTTGGAGAATCTCGATAGCCCTGGGAAGCAGTCCTCTAAACCCTTTACTTGTGTTCACAGTCCTATGAAAGAGGCACTATTATCCCCATTTTGTTGTTGGGAAAACTGAGGCAAAAGATGACTCAATACAGTATTATAACGATGGAAATAAAAGAGCCAGATCTGAACCCAAGCAACCAAATGCTAGGGCTCGGGATATAGCTCAGTGGCATTAGCACCTGCCTGGCAAGCACAAGGTCCTGAGTTCCATTCCCTGTACCAAAAACAAAAACAAATGCTAGCCTTCTTATGATTTTTAAATGTTAGATGGTTTTGAATTTGGTTCTAGCTTGCTACTATAAAATTAAGACTTGACCTAATTTTTAATGTTAAAGACTCTATTTGGCTTAATTATCATTGGTTACAAAAATTCTCTCAAGACGTAGTGTCTGACTCTGTTGTTTTCACAAGACTAAAAAAGTCTTTAATGGGAAAAAATAATAAAGATGCCTGACATTTTCTAATACATCATTACACCATGAAACTTGGTGCTGGGTGATTCACATTGTTGGCACACATACTGTATGAATCTCTGAATGAGGCAAAATACACTGATTAAATTCAAGTGTGATGGGGTAACAA